GCCTAATGACCTCCCTCATTCCTGCCTTGGTCATTGTACCTTTCGTGCAGTTACCAATGTCAATCTGGTTACACCAGATCATACAGAGCTTCTCTGTATTGTCCTCGTTCCAATCAGCCCTACTTTTAATAGTCTAAAACATACACAAGAAAAATTGAGCTAAGAATCATGCTGAAGAATGTAATGGTAGAATCATCAAATAGTTCTCACAAGCAAATAGTAATGGTAGAATCAAGAAATAGTAGTGCACAATCAAAAATTGACCATTCGGTTAAAACATGATGCAAATCATGCATGCAACTGCTTCTCGATGACTACTTGATGCTGCCAGAAACTCAGAAAGTGGCGCGCCGTCGGCCGGCCGGAAATGCGGAACCCCAGGTCAAGACTCAAGAGTAGGTACGCTGTCCGCTGGCCCCTGGCCGGCCGTTCCATTCCACTGCAATTTCGTTCCCTCGATCGCCCCCACAAGACAAAAAATTACGCAATGACTGTATGCGTCTATATATATATATATATATATATATATCCACTTATTAGCTGACACGCACAGTTGAGGTAGCAGGGTTAATATCTTAGGTTGTGTTTGGTTTAGCTTCTGAAAAGTGCTCTTCTGCTAAAAAAAAGAACGCCAACCAAACCGGTAGAACAAGAAACTAGTTTTCCCGGCCGTAGTACAATTTTCATAGCACTTTGTGCCATGCAGTTGCCTTTTAGCTTTGAGCTTTTCCAAATGGGTGCAAATAAAGACACGTAGTTGTTTCAAGAAAGATAAAGAGAGATGGGAGGTTTCCTAATTGTTTTAAGCAAACAATTTATTTTCCTTCTCACAACACATAACTCACAGCTCACAACTTTTTCATAGCTCATAACTGAATCAAACACACCCTTTATCAAAGTAGGAGTATTTTGAATCCTGGTATTATATAATAATTCACGTAGAGAGAACAATACAAGATGCCACAAAATACTTAGGAATAGCCCAATAATGTCATAAAACCGATCATCATCAAATGCTTACTGTGCAGATATATATATATTTCAAGATACAAGTGAATGATATTCGCTATTTATATGGGCATCAAGTAGGGAATTGTATCCTACTTCCATTATTCTAAATTATAAGATTGTGATGATTGATGATGAGCGGGGGCCGTGTGAGCGAGGCTGCTGGAACTGAACTGGAACTGGGCTGGAACTGGAAGCTAGGCAGGCAGATTCGTTGATGATGGCGCAGCGCTAGCTGGGCAGGTTCAGGTATGCGTTCATGCATGCATGATATGCATGGACTGAGGACTTGTATATATACCAGCATGCATGCAAGGCTCTGCAACTCTGGAAGGCCATGCATATAATTAATTAATTAAATAAAAGCATCGTTCCTGCGGGACCTGCTCTCACACAGAACATGCATGGCATGAACGTAACCCCTGCTCTGCTCTCCAGTGGACACGTAGTAGTATATATGTCCCACCCGGCAAACATGATGCAAATACTACAGGTTGCCTACTTAGACTGAATTAGTTCTTTATTTAACACTGGAATGTTGGCATACATGGTGTGCTGCTGGAATGCTAAATTGGACATAGTTCATTTATTCATCAGAGTTCAAGATAATGAGCATGTCACATATTATAATGTGATCCAATGAGTTATTAACTCATTACCATCACTCCAGTTTGGCCACACACAGATCTAGTCAACACACATTCCACGTGCATTAAGAGATAAATGTTGATCGCGTCTAGTGCTAGATTAAGGACAGACAATGAAATGTTCCAGTTGGAATAGCTAAACAATTCCAAAACTGACTAACTAACAAGGACAACATGATGTCTTCGCCTATCGACAAATCTATCTGCAGAACACAACAAGCTAAGAGAAGTTGCCCCGATCGAGAATAGTTAGTTGGCTCTGTTTGTAGGCAACATTATTTAGTTCAGCTATTGATTTCTAGGACAGTGTAACATAGCCTATCAACTACAGAGTAGCGACAAGCTGATGATAGCAGAGATGATAGCATATGTGTGAACATGATAGCTGGGACTTCCTGCTGGGATCAGATCACTCAACAATCAGTTCATGAGACACTGCATACAGCATATTTTTAAAACTGCTACTAGCAAGATAAGAAATAGAAGGAAAGGAATAAATATACTGCACTGTCTAGTTGACACAGAAAAGGTAACATTCTTCAGAATCACAAGGTAGTTGACACAGAAAATATATATAACTAGACACAGTATTAGCTACAATGAAAGATTAGCTACAATGAAAGACTGTCAGTTCATGAGAGACTGCATACAGCATTAGCTAATGAAAGATTAGCTACAGGCACTGATGATGACCTAGCTAGCTAGGAGCAGTTGACATCAGATACAGTTGACATCATAAAATTTAGCAGCAAGGGAAGACGTCAATCTAGGAGGTATAGTTTCCTTTTTCACAAACAGGATTACCAACGCTATAAGATGGAGTATAGTTTCCTTTTTCACACACAGATAGCACAGATACACACAGATGCACCCCTAACAATCTTGCGAGGCGGGGGGCAGCAATTCTATCAAGCATTCTATCAAGTTTGAACAAAGAAAAAAGTGAACAAAAAAAATCTAAGGGCTCAAGCATTCTATCAAGTTTGTTGGCCTCACAAGACACCCTAAAAAATTGTACCAATAATCGAACTCGATTGTTGGCGACAATCACTAACGAGATCACTAACAGATTGTTGGCATTCTATCAAGCATTGTGCACAATCACTAACAGATAACAACTAACTCGATTGTTGGCGACACTAGTATCTTGTGAAATTGTGAACCATAGAAGAGCATATATCAAATCGAAACTACACATATATCTCGCCAGATGATGACCTAGCTAGCTAGGAGCGACACTACACATATATCAACATTGCAAGAATGTAATGGTACAATAAAGAAAAATACCCTTGGAGCGTTGGGTAGGATCTCGGCGTCGTCACCGTCGTTGGAGGCGTTGACGCGAAGTTGTCCTCATGACGGTGGCACCCGAGGACGTCTACATGGGCCGTGGAGCCTTCTCGCCACGCCGGAGGTAGACTTACGCATGGGCCGTGGAGGCTTCTTTGTGACGCGCCGCGCGAACAACAATGCAAGACACCACTACCACGCCACCACCGGAGAACGCCGAGGTAGCGCACCCGACCCAGCTCCAACTCCAAAGGTCTTTGCGAGGAGCACGGAAGCCAACACCTCCAGCTCCAACACTTCGGCTTGCGCTGTGGGCTCCAACGAGAGGGGAGGCATTGGGGCCGTCGACATCTCCACCTTGAAGACCGGGCGAAGGAGGCCTGGTACCCTCCCATGGGCGGCCATTGGCGCCCTGCGAGTTGAGGTCGAGGGCCGCCATGCTCGTCTGACGGGAGAAGCGAAGTGGGCTGGATCCAGGGCGGTGAAGGCCGCTGATTGTAGCCTTGGCGGTGGGCGGGCTGCGACGAGAAGTCCCCGGTGGCGCTCGATGTTGCTGTGTAGCTATGGCCATCACCGTAGCCGCTGCTCGTCGCCGTGGAAGAATACATCGCCATTGCATTTCGTCCATGCGGGCGAGTAGTAGAAGCAAGATCTCATTGGGGCGGTGGAGCAGCAAGAAGATCCCGCCGAGGTGGTGGAGAAGGGAAGGGACGAACGGTGGAGTGGCAAGGGGGGGCGGTGGCGGGTGTGCGTGAGAACTGGCCCCTTGATTCGCTCCCGGCGCCCAAATCGAGCGAGAGAGCACGCGTGACCGAGCCGTGTATAACGCGGGCCGGTGCTCTCACTGGACGGCGGCCCATGACAATGGGGGGACGGCCTCGGCCGGAGAGGCACAACGACGGGCGGAGGAGGGGAGGGAAGGACCCACAGGTGGAGATGGGGGAGGAAACCAGAAGAGGGAGGAGGCGTTGGGGCCGAGCCAGCAGGTAGGGTTCAAGCGCAGCAATGAGTAGGAGAGAGCGGCGGCGGCGGCTCCGATCGGCCCGGGTAGGGTTCGGGGCGGTCTTGGGCGAGCAAATGATTAGGGGCAGGTGTGGGCGAGGAGCACGTGCACCAGGCCCAAGTTGGGCTTATTTTGGCCTCTGGACTCCAGAAACCAGAATTCAGAATGGGTATGTGTTTCCAAAAAATTCTGAGTGATGTTTAGATCCATTTCCCAGAATATTGGGCTAAAATTCAGAATATTTTGAGTTTGATGAGGAACTAAACATGGCCTCAATCTTTGGTGACCACTAGAAGAGAATTGTGAGTTACGAGTGCGGCCTCCCGTGATGGACGCCGTGACATCATCGCCGAGCTGTTGTCCCATAGCCATCAGTATCTGAACTTTTATTTGCGTTTACAGTGCTGAACCAAACAAAATCAGTGATGTACTCTAACCATTATCGCTGTTTTTTTATTCCCTTTGCGTTTGCATTTTATGGTTCTCAACCAATCACCACCAGCCCGCCCCACTGGAAGATACGTACCGGCTCGGTCACTAGAAAAATACAATTCTAATATAGTGCTGCGTTTTAGTACTTTGATCAATTATAAAAAAAAATTCATGTTTAAGATACCAAATAAATATTATCGAATTAATTACGAAATGTATTTTAATAATAAATTAATTTAAAGATATAATTATAAATATTATTTATTAAAAATTTGGTTAAACGTGAACCATTTTTTCTAGTATAGCACATAGTCCATAATTACGTTTTGTTAGGACGGAGGTATTACCAAGAACGCTAGCACTAGGTTCGCTACGGCGTCCCTCACCGACTCACCGTGCGGTGCGCGCACACCACCACCCCCCACATGCCGACATAATTCCACGCCGCCCCCACCACGCGGACGCGGGGGCGACCATTATTCCTCTTCGCACCGCCCGCAGCCCGTCTACCCACGCATTCGCATCCTTCCCCCACCCCCACTTCTCACTGGTTCCACTCTCGCTCTCCCAGCCGCAGAGCCGCTCGTGTCGGTGCCGAAGGGCGAAGGCAAAAGGCAATGGCACCCCTCCGCGCGGCCCTCCTCCTCCTCGCCGCGGCGCTGTGTGCGCTCGCGCTGCTCGCGGCGGCGCCGGCCTCCGCGTCGCGCGACCTCCGCCCGCCCCGGGCGGGCTTCGTCGTGCGCGGCCGCGTCTGGTGCGACAACTGCCGCGCGGGCTTCGAGACCTCCGCATCCACGTACATTGCCGGTGCGACGCCTCATAATCCCCTCCCTCTCGTATGACTTGCATTTGCTACTGATGTGCTTTCTTAAATTCGGATAAACTTATTTCCCCTTCAACCATCTGGATCTGGCCGTGCACGTACTGGTTGGTTGCTTTATGGGAGTGTTGTTTGGATGCGCTCCACTGCTATGGGCGTGTGAGGATGGCGTCGAGCCTCGTGCGTCCTTAATAAACTACAAAGTCGGCTGCATGTTAGTGTTGGTTTGTGCAGAGGGTTAGCTTTCTGCTAGCCCCCGTCCTCGTCCATGACAACGGTGCACGTGTAACTTGTTCGATTCCACAGATTTGCTCTAGTTAGATCCACTTGTGATTTCTTTTTTTTTCTCATTTTGACGGATATCTTGTTCTGATTCGAAATGTCTAGTTGGTCTAGGGGATCTAGCAGATGTGCGCTTAGTACATGCTAGCTAAATGGACATGAGTGTGCAATGTATGGATCCATATGCTTCAAATCTTTCGTTGGTCATGAATAGTCAAGCGAGATCTAGGGTGGGCTATCTCCAACAGGAGACTCATCAGGAAACCCAAACCCAAAATGGGTCTCCAACACAATACCTATGGCCTCCAACAGATTAGCTATATGGAAGACCTATTTTGGGTCTCAGGAGAGATATCTTTTGGGTCTTGTTGTTAGAGAAGACCAAAAATAGGTATTGAACCATTTGCCTGTAGCGCTACCCAAACGTGAAATGGGTCTTGTATTTTGGGTAACAGTTGTTGGAGACAGTAGGTGCTCTGACCATTGTTCACGGACCGTGGATTTCTTGGCCGGGACATCGAATAGTGTATGGCTCAGTGTACTCAGTACTCGGTAGTACATTGTTGGACATTGGGGTCTGGATCAGGCCATATTCCTCATGCTTGATGTGCTGCCAATTAATGAATCAGAACCATGAGTCATCTTTAGATCTCTGCACTCGGAAATAGATTAATTATATATCATAGATGGACCAAACATGTTTCTATGGAATGCATGTTTATCTGGTTGTCTAGGCTCTAGGGAGGCAGTCATCACAGAACATGAATACAAAATTATAAATACTCAATCTTTGTTGTTCAAACTGTGAAGTTATTGATGTCAAATCGGACAATATTGAAATGGTGTTGACTATCCCAGACTGACATCCATACATCGGACAATATAAAAATGATGTTGACTATCCCAGACTGACATCCATACGAAGACTGGTGTTATATTTGTAGCTGGAGAAGTTTTTTCTGAATTTGAGTGAATACGTTAGTTTGCCCCAGGAAGTGCCAAAGTGGTATGTGGCTTAACCTGTATAACTGCTGTCATTCGGAAGGAGATAATTGCTATCTTTTTTGTTGTATTTATACCAGGGAATATGCCACTTTATTCTTTTGGAAGGACAGTTACTTTTGTCTTTCAACAGAACTATACAGTAACATAGCATGAAATTCAACTGCTCTGTATTTTCTGAACTGCAGCTGCGCATGATTCATCTTGCCTGTGTACTGCAAAACAAAGAAATGGAATTAGTGGTCTTCAAGACCATAGGATCTTTTAAATTAGGTGCAACTACAAAACAGTTTTGAGAAGCAATAACTGGCCAAAAGTAAAGTGAAAACAGTACATCCAATTGAAATAAATACCTCTTACGATTCCATTCAATTTCTAAGAAACCATTGCCCTCCTTATAGACTTGCGCAAAAGAACCCTTTCCCTCTTTAGCTGTAAGTTGCATATAATCATGCTACTGGAACGTGCATTTACTTATTCTCATTCAAAGGGCAACTATAATTGATAACCATTGGTCAGGGACACGCAGCCTTGACCTGCAGGGGGTATGACAGCCCCAAGTGGCACCGTTGCCCATGTGAGAACGACCATGATCGGGGCTGGACCTTAGACTTGTGCTTTGGTGTCGGACAGACAAGGAGATTTTTTCAACCCTAGCCTGAAATTCACTCCCACGGGGAGTTGAACTGAGGACCTGAGTAGTGCTACTAGAGCCACCTAACCAACTCAGCTAGAGCCCTTTCGCTTTTCCAGTATCAGTAAGAAATGAAAAAAGTATTGTTTAGAGGCATATAGGTTACAATATGTGGCTTCAGAAAGTTTTCAGGTTATTTATATCATGGAGCAAATTTTGTAAGCTGGGCCAGGCCTCGCAAAACCTGGCCATTATTAGAATATTATATTGTTAGCAAACAGGGCAATACCTGGCAGGCATGGTATGCATGTTTCATCTATAATGTTCTACTATCAATGTAACATGACTGCATGACATGCATTGAAGACTAAAAGAAGCAGCAGCATTCCTGGAAATGGAATAGACTCATGATGCAAAAAAAATGTTATTTTGTTTTATGGCTAACTGGCATATTGCTTGGTTCACAATACCTTTTGGTTTTGTTGGGACTTGGGAGCATGATTGTTAATGCGGTATGGCAAGGCGTGCTGACCCACCCCCTTTCAGATGCCTAGGCAAATAAGGTGTGGTGAGGTGACGCCATACACATACCCTCATGTACAATAGAGCAGAACAAACGTACATTGATACATAGCTTTCTCCTGCCAATTCTAGAGCCGATGCACAAACAGTCACCACCCACTAGCCTCATGCCCAATGCAACTATCCAAGCACAAGCAGCATACCACATCACAGGAGTATATCCAAGTCCAAGATCCAAGCAAGCATGAGAAATATAGTTCAGACTTCTGAACAGAGGAAGGGAGTGGAAGAGCAGAGGAAGGGTGAAGCTGAGGTACCTGTGAGCCGACATGAAGAGTGCTGGGCTGCTGGCAGGAAAGCGAGCAGATGAAAGAGACGCTGAGCCCATGTAGAAATGGAAGCAGGCATGAATTGATGGGGCAGAGGTCGGAGGCGTGCATCGGCAAGCAGAGGTTGGATGTCAGAGGCATGAGTTGACAAAGTGGAGGTCAGAGGTGAAATCAGTGGAGTCTGCAGAGCACAGTGGCGGGACCTGAAGTAAAATATATAGGGGCGGGGGGGGGGGGCAATTTATCAATTAAATTCTTATGTACATGGGTGATGGACAAAATAATCTTAGTACTTATAATTAAGTCACAGTACAAAAATACAATCGACAACAAAATAGCTGAGCATAAAAAATTCTCTACAAAAAGCAACATAAAATTTCGATTGACAACAAAATATTACTCAATCAGCTACTTCTAGTACGCATGCTATGTAGATTTTATAGGTTGACAGTCAGAAAGGCAAAAAGATAGAAGAATCAACAAGACGCAGAGCAACAGAAGCAAAGAAAACAGGCTAACGGAGTAACGGCTGAGCGGTGGGAGCACCACTATACATACGATTGCTGTGTGGGGGGGCATGGCCGGTCTGGGCCCCGGCCGGTCACTGCTACTGCTAGCGGTGACTCGCAAACACAGAGCGCAGGGATATGCAGTGGAGTAGCAGAGACTTGTGGGCTTCAGAAAATCACAGAGGCAGGGGGGGTGGGGGGGCATGGCCCATTATGGCCCCCACGTAGCTCCGCCAGTGGTGGAGTAGCAGCAGGAGCTGCGAATCTGTGGAGCAGAAGGGGCGGGAGCAGCTGCGGATCGGCGGGCGGAGGTTGGATGTTAGAGGCACAAGTTGACAGAGCGGAGGTCGGAAGCGAAATCAGTGGAGGCTGTGGAGTAGCTGCAGCAGCTGTGAATCATAGAATGGAAGGGGCCGGAGCCGCTGGATGGAGGTGGGCAGGCACTCTTCCCCTCTCTTCTCTCTTTCCCTCCGCCTCTCTCAATTGGTGAGTTGTTATGGGGCACATTCCCATGGGGAGGTATAGGCGCACAATTTCCCCCTGTGTGCGAAGCTCCTATGCGAGCGCATTGCGTTGCACATCCCTGTGTGTGCCTTTTCACACATGTGCCTTTTCACACATGTGGCATCCGTAGATGCCTTGGTGATAAATTTCCATGTGAGGCTACACCATACACACGCATGGAGGTTGTGGCAGATATGGTGCTTCGATTGGAAAAGCAGCCAGAAGACTAGGTGACGCCTAGGCTGGCATGGCTGGGAGCAACAACTTGAGAAAGAAAACTAGAGCCGAGATCTCCAAGTAGGATCGGTGTCCATCTGACAGATAATATTGAAATGAGCTAAAAAATTCGAAAAAGCAACAACTTTATTTTATATGTAATTAAAAGTTTGTGAGCAACATTTAGCTGCCATTCACCTTTTTTGTTTCCTGAACATTTGTACTGCTTGGTTTTATTTTCATTAAAATTTCAGTAGGGGCTTACACCCCTCCTGTTCCATCAAAAAAACATTTAGCTGCCATTTACTAGTCATCTATTTGTTTCTTTGCCGACTGTTAGTGATATGGCATTCTTCTATTTCTTTCTTTGCGACTGTTTGTGATATGGCATCTTTGTTATTACAGGAGCTAAGGTGAGAGTCGACTGCAAATCAAAAACCACTGGGGCAAAGACATGCAGCTTCGAGGGACATACAGACCGCACTGGCACCTACAACATCCTTGTCGCTGATGAGCATGAGCATGAGCTCTGCGAGTCTGTCCTTGTGAGCAGCCCGGACAAGGGGTGTGCCAATGTTGTGGCTGGTCGTGAGAGGGCCCCTGTCTTCCTCACCAGCAACAATGGGGTTGCATCCAACGTTCGTTTGGCAAATGCTCTGGGGTTCCAGAAGGACGTTGCCCTTCCTAGATGCGCACAGATCCTCAAGATGTACCAGGATGAGGATGACCGTGTGTAATTACGCCTGAGTTTACATGTACTTGGCGAGTTACATATTTATGTGGTGTCTGAAATGTTCTAGAACCTCTATATATATTACTAAGAGCAACGATATTGTCGCTTCTTAAGTCTTATATCTTGGCACTTAAGTGTGTGCATGACTGCATGTTTACTGCGGATGTTATGAGCTAATAAATATGTCTGGCTAATGTGATGCGGTTAAAAATAGTCTGGTATGGCTGGGGTTATGACTGTCTATAGTTTTGATGATCCTTGAGAACACATGATAATATTGCAGGCGCTTTTAGGTATACAATTTTTTTCATTCGTAATATGATAAATACAAAAGGATGTACAATTCATATAAAAGACACTCAAAGCTAGTAGGCTAGAGTTAGAAATCTAGCAAAACCAATCAAGGTTTAGGCACGTGAATATCTGTTTTTCAAGTACTTTTATCTAAGGCTAAGTCTTTGGGTATATTCCATCCTTTTAAGTCTTCTTTTATTGTCTCTACCTAAGTCAACTTCGGTCTTTCTCTGTCTCTCTTCACGTTACTATCCTGGCTTAGGATTCCACTACGCACCGGTGCCTCTGAAGGTCTCCGTTGGATATGTCCAAACCATCTCAATCGGTTTTGGACAAACTTTTCTTCAATTAGTGCTACCACTAATCTATCACGTATATTATCGTTTCGAACTCGATCCCTTCTTGTATGACCACAAATCTAACGCAACATACGTATTTCCGCGACACTTATCTGTTGTACATATCGTCTTTTCGTAGGCCAACATTCTGCACCGTACAACATAGCAGGTCTAATCGCCGTCCTATAAAACTTGCCTTTTAGCTTCTGTGGTACCCTTTTGTCACATAGGACACTAGATGCTTGGCTCCACTTCATCCATCCTGCTTTGATTCTACGGCTAACATCTTCATCAGTATCCCCGTCTCTCTGTAGCATTGATCCTAAATATCGAAAGGTATCCTTCCTAGGCACTACTTGACCTTCCAAACTAATATACTAATTATCGAAAGGAATACGATTCAAATAAAAGACAGTCAAAGCTAGAACTGAAAAAAAAAATTAAAAGAACAGTAAGACTATTATGGTCTGTTTGGATTCATTCATTTTGGTTGAATTGCAATCTACTATATGGATCTAGCTATTTGGTTTGGAATTTGATATTCTAGCACTTTTCAAAGTTTAGATACTGGCTTGTGTCTATTAGAATTCTTAATCGTGATTAGCCCATTAGGATCAATAGTCTAAAGACATGAACACACTAATTCACAGGTTAATTAGCACATATCTCAATTAGCAGAATATCGTTAGGGTTGATGCCTTCTGAGAGATGGATCACCGTTACAGATGAACGGTGGTGGCAATGGTCTTCAGGCCACTACCCGAGCTAACTGGATCGGGAGGTTAGGAGAGGTTACAAGTGCCTTCACTTGATCACCTAATGACATCTCGTGAGTCTCGTATAGCTCTGGGTAGCCTGGGACCAGGCCTGGTTGTTAGTTAGCCGCCCACCGATCATGGGCATTGTATGGCTGTGAAGCCCCATAAGACTTGGTCTATTGACCAAGCTAGAGATCAATTTCTAACATTCTTTCCTTGATCGAATGGCTTAATACATAAGTCCGGTCTTAACATCATTAGTCCACTCTAAGTAGAAAAGCATATAGAGGTAATATGTTACAACGGTCTGTAAACGCCACTATAACCTTAATACCTACAATATATGTCAATCCACTTTGATAGGATAATCACTTATACATAATGGGAGATGGCCCTTTACTTATGGTCTAGTTGTGCAGTTTGTTTATATAAATGTGCACACATAAAGGAGAAAACAAACTTGTTCCAGAATCAAGATTTGAGATCTCAATTTTGTCCCTTAATAATAGGTTGCCAATTATCATTATGCCGGCAAGATATGAGGGCAAGCCTAAAGTAGGGAATCATCAAACTAAATATATGCTCCACGCATGACACATAATACTCATATGGAGCATATAAGCATAAACATTAGAACATAATTCATTAAACATAACCTTAAACATTATATAGTTGATGATATCTGATTCTGGAATTCATCTTTCACAATGTCTCGGGTTTGGCAATACCACTTGACATGTTACTCGAATAAAATTGCACTCGTTATGTAATCAATTTTGGGATAAATCATAAATTCCTTAGTCTTAAATCATAATACCTTACATGAATCAACAACATGTCACAACTCAGTATACATAATTAATGGTGCCTTGAGAAAACTATTGGAGCCATTCCACATATGGCTCCCCCGCAAGGGTGAAGATTTCAACTTTATGTGGATTTCATAATATCACCACACCTTGCATAAATTAATTTCTCAGTGCACTTTTATGTGAACACGTGATCCATTAGTGTCATGCATATCAACGATTTTCAGGGGTCCGGTCCTGAAAAATGTCTGCCAAATATCCCATTTGCAAAAGATCAAGGGCTCATACTTACTTAAGCATACTTAATGCTTATGAAAGCAGCAGCGTGAATAAAAACAGTCGCCCTTAATCATGACAGAGTAAGTATTTCCAATAAAACTTAAGTACACCATCAAAGTATAACTTTTGAGATTAACATAATTCTCATTTTGGACCAATCTTGGTGAATCATAATGTCCAGAATTATGAGAGACATCACCAAGATAATTTGAATGCCTAAGCGAGAAAATAAATCCTAGGTCTTAAATACAATATCCTTAATACTTAATGAGATTTTGTCCACTTTCTTACTCAACTTATGTACCTCTTGTGTAGACACTCATAGCTTTAGAAATATTGAGAAATAAGTGCCACCATTGTCGACATAGTCAATTCCTTACTTTATGAAAAGCCTCTATCACAAGCATTTGCTCCGGTTTCATTATTTCTCTTTGGAGTAACACTTTCATTATGTGAACCCATGACAGCTCACTGTTTTGACTCCATCGGGAAAACAAACATCATTATAGGCTAATTCATTAGTCAGAACCGAGTATGAGACTTTTATCTATCATAGAGAATTGTATGTGTGTGGAGCACAGTGTGTAACACCCCTAGTGTTACGAGCTCATTTAGCACCGTGATTTAGGCCTAAGTGAAAATTTACGAAACGAGTTTCTCGATTTTTTGATTTAAAACGTACTCGACATGATAAGTGAATCCGGTGACCCAGTTTTGTGGACTCGAATCAATGTCCAAGTTAAATTACGCAGTGTGTAGAAATATTTAGGAATGACGAACGACGATGCCAGCAAACGGTATGTTCCGTTAGATTAAGTATGAAAAGCAACTTTTATAAATAAAATAAAATTCATTAATAAATAGAACGATATCTATATGCTCCTGTGTTTATTTTGAAAAACATGCTCAAGTTGAAAAGCCTTGGTTTAGTTTTGACTTGCGAGCAAACGGCTCCACAGCGATGACGGGATGTCACCCTGTCTTGCTCCGTCGCTTGTTGTCAGTAGTGTGTTTCCCCCTTGTTCGAAATCAATCAACTTTGGTTTATTAGCATCACGCCGCATCGTCGAGTTCCGTCGTCGTGCCACTGCTCCCTCTCCATCGCGTCCTTTCTCTGATGATCGCCATAATGAAGGTTGGTCGGGCTGCTGCTGTTGTTTACTGATTTGTTTGTTTTCCCTCCGCTCGCTGCTGGTTCCATCGTTTCACTCTGCGGCATCATAAATGTCTCTACTCTCTGAGCTTGCTTGTCTTGCCTGGCTCACTGGGTGTCTGCCTGCTGCGCCTTGTCTCGGTCTGTCCTCGGTTTTTGCTTTTCCCTCTCTCTCTGCCTTGGTTTCTTGCTGCAGATAAGCGTACACGAGCTGACACTCGACTACACATTCTAGCATTGTCTCAGTGTGTGTGTATATATATATATAAGCTACCTAGTATGGTCAGTACACATGCAGTCGACTACTACATATGACTGAGCATGGCAGGAAGAAGCTAAGCAATAAATCTACCGAACACCCGCCTGCGCCAGCGTCCTTGCTGTTGCCGTATACTACTTTTCCTGTGCGATGCAACGCTAAGGCCCAGCTACTACTGCTGCTGTCCGTGCTGGTCTTGTCCAAATTTTTTAATGGAAGCACAGTAGTCCAGCGGCGCACCTTTTTGAGCACAGCAGCAGCGAATTTTCACGGCCACCCCACGCCCGCACCATCGCTCTGCTCTGCTCTCTCTCTCTCTCTGCTTGCTTCTGCCACTGGAAGCCACAGTCGCCGCGCGCAGCATCGTCGGTCCAGCCGCACCGAGCTCAGCCACCGCCCCCGCGTCTGCACCTGGCCATCGTTGCCGATTGCTGCCCCATGGTTCCGTGCTGCCGTGCAACACCGAGTCGCAGCACCGCCGCCGCGCGCCTCCCGTTCACCGGAGCTGCGTGCCGCTCCGCCTACCAAGCCGCATCCGCACCCGGGCCACAGTGCTCCACGCCCGCCATGCTCGCCGTAGCCGCGCCTGGAACGCCGCACCACACGCGAGCACGCTCCTTCACCTCGGTCCACACCGTGTACCGCGTCGCGGCCGCCATTGCCTGCCTCCTGGCGCACGCTGCCTGGCCGCGGTGGCCATGGGCGATTCCAGGCCGCCTCAGCCCGGGGCCACGTGATTCTCCGTGCCGTTCGCCGGCCGGTTTTCCTCCATCGCCGGTAGCGGTTCCCTGCGGTTTCCCCGTGCCCACGTGCCTGTGCCTCCGCCGCCGCGGGGCTCCACTCCACAGCACCACCCCAGCCGGGGGCGCGCCTATTTCGCCCGGTGCCTGAGCTTGCCTCGTCGGCCGCCGTGCCCCGCAACCGCGTTGCCGCGTGCCGCCGATGCCGCCGTGGAGACATCCTGCAGCGCACGGTCGGACCTCCTTTGCTCCTCTGTCTGAAGAAGATGAAGCGAGGGTATAAATCCAAGCATAATTTTTATACAAGGTCTTTACTGCGAATACGTGACTCACATGAACAGTATAGGTTGTACTATGAGTTAGTTTCGGGTTAA